TGTATTGTTTTGTAGGAAACAAATGTTATGCTACTACTACCACCAATATCTTCTTCGAAAAAAATGCTAGAAATCAAACAAATGTTGCAGCAAATTGAGGAAATTGTTATAATTATAAGACACTAATTACTGCTAAAACGTTGTCGTGGGAACAAGGGGTCCAAACAGTCATCAGAAAAATTGTTCGGAGCGATTTTGTGTAAAATGCACAAGATGTAACTCAATTTAATATGATGTAATTCACTTTGCACAATGTGTAATTATAGAATAAAATTTTGTAAAATCTACACGTAATATGAAAAATAATGTATAAGATAAAATCTGAATCTTATATATTTTTTTTAATCAAATCTTGACCATCAACCTTCCAAAACGATTGCCTTCCCTTCATTCTTGTCTCTTGTCGTTGGGGTTAGTTTATTCAGCACTGTAACAAGCACACAAACCACACACAAAAAGCACGCACCAGAGCGGGAAAAGCATTTTAAGATTTGAAATTCAAATTCCAAAATCATATTCTGTAATTTTCTTCCTACCGGAAATAGTGTCAAAAAAAATTAATAGTATATATTTGCTTAATCCGTTAATTCCCAATTCCGCCCTCCCAGTCTCAACCCATCAGAAAGGCAGAAACCTATCCAGTCTCTCAGTCTCTAGTCTCTACTACACTTTCTCCCTCTATTTCCCACTATTTTCGTATCCATTTTCTCCCTCTCTTTATTTCTGGTTCTCGCTCGCCCGGGAAGGTATGCTCGATTTGAACCAATTATGCTTCATATTTATCTTCTTCTTTTTTTCGTTTTTTCCGCCTTCAGTAATTGTTTTGTGGTTTACAGATCAATTTAAGCAGTTGATTTTGTGTTTTCCGACGATCGGAAAGTGAAAAATGGGACAGATCCAATATTCCGAGAAGTACTTCGATGATACATACGAGTACAGGTGAAGAATCATTTTTAAGTAATTATTATCCGTTATATGTGTTCCATTTTTTTTTTCAGAAATGAATGAAGTTTCTGAATTGATTTTTTTTTTATTGTGATGATAATTCAGGCATGTGGTTCTTCCTCCTGAAGTGGCGAAGTTGCTTCCCAAGAATCGGCTTCTCTCTGAAGTATGAAGTTTTTATGTTTACCTTCTAAATTTACTTATTAACTTAGGGTTTTGGTGTTTACTTTTCCCCCCTAAAATTTTACATATTTTCCCTGTTAGTCACTTGCGATAAATTAGGTGCTCTTTTTTGTTTTTTAAATTAATAATCGATCTATCGAAATGAATTATGTGAACTTTTTGGTGTGGGGAAAAATGATTGTACTTCAGAGATGAAAATCTAGGTTCTCCTAATGATAGATCGAAGTATGATATTTTTTCTAATTTTAATTCAGTATATAACGAGAATTTGAAAATCGTCTCTCTAAGCTTCTATGCAATTATGCAAATCTCAATTCAGCTGTACACTGGGAAATTCTATTTACATTTCTGAGCTTACACTCGCTGATGAAAGCCCAGAATTTGGAGGAGTTGGTTTTCCTGATGAATGATGATGTTAAGTTGCAGTCTGTCTTAGAATTATGCTTTACTCAAATGACATTAATACAGTTGTTTCTGTTGTTATTGGTCTCTATATTGCTTGTATGAAATTGAATGGCTTTACGGTTTCTGGACTTCAATCAAGATTAGTATCTAATTCCTTTCTTTTTTTCCCCATTTCGTGTTGCTACTAGAATGAATGGAGGGCAATTGGGGTCCAGCAGAGCCGAGGGTGGGTCCATTACGCGATTCACCGACCAGAGCCACACATCATGCTCTTCAGGAGGCCACTCAACTATCAGCAGCAGCAGGAGAATCAGGCTCAGCAGGGTGTGACTGCTAAGTGAACAACTGCTGCTGTTGTTCCTTTGCATCGTTGAATACTTGCTTTCATTTCCTCTAGAAATGAGCCTATGGCTATATAAAATGCTATCATCTTACTGTGTTGTTCCAGAAGTTGTTTAGACATGTTGGAAATGTAAACTCTAGTAGTATTACTTTATACTCTTAAATGTGGATTCTTGGATGTTGAAACCTCGTTTTAATGTCTTTAATGTCTTTCTTTTTTTGGTTAACATCTTTAGTAGTTGGAAAGTACTTAATACTGGTATTTGGATGTTGTACTGAAGTTTGATTCCAAATGTACTGGTTTGCGTACTTTGGATGACACCAGTCACCACAAACCCATTGGGCTTCGCTGAATTGTGGTGCGTTGTTGCTTTGTCGTGTTTTTGTGTTTTCTGGTGTTGTTCCTCTGTTGATCTATCATAACATGCTTTGTCTTTTTGGTCAGTTGAATTTTTTTCTCCTTTGAGTGTAAATTCATTTGTGTGCACAGATGGATAGGTCCAGAAGGTTCTCTATTACTATTTACCCTACATTAGCACTTACATTTTTGGGGTTTGGGTCCAAAAATCTTCACGGAGAACTATTAGAATTCTTTGTTGAAGAGACTTGTAATGTATCCACTTCGATGGTGATTACACAAAAAACAGGCCTGATAGATTTTTCTGAATTCCATAGGCGTTAAGAAAGTGCTCTAGCAAGAAGCTGCAGTTGGATACTTTTCCTGCAATACGATAGTTGTTATACCTTCATTTGCTCTTGTTGTCTTACTCTGCTTTTGTTGTGCTTTTCTTACTCTGTTTGGTTGCTGATGCAAAGGAATGTTGAATACACTCGATGTCCGAATGAGCTATTTTTAACCCGCAAACACATCGGATTGGAATTCTTTTAATTTGTTTTTAACCCGAAAATATATAGGATTGGGATTCCTTTACTTTGGGTAGACTATTGTGATTTCTTGTGTAGAATCGGTGGTTGGTTTTACCTTATTTCTGCTGGATGGAATCAACTGATATGCCTGGGTATGTTTATGGCAAAACATACGGTAAGTGCCATTTTTCGGAATGGTAATAGATTGCGAAACAATTAGGTGCCAGTTTTCCCCAAAAAAGAGGAAACAAAAAAAAAGATGCTAAATAAAGTCGAGACTAAGGGAGGAAGTCAATTGCTGCAAAAAATATCAGATTCATTTTTTCATGCGATCTCTTTTACAAAATACACTTTTTAATAGACAAAGTACAACAGATGCATTTTTCACAACCTTAGGCCAGATAGTAATTAAAAACAAATATTTTTAACACGAGAAGTTCAGAACTTAAATGGAATATTTATCATGAAATTCAGTCATTATGATTATTCAGATTGCAACAAAATCAAGCAAAGGAACTACAATAAAACAAGAAAATTTTGTCCTTTATTAATTAGAACTCTTTAACGAGCTGACGCCTACAAATTTGTTAAATGCGGTTAGCAAAAGCCAGAGGAAAAAAACAAGTAAATAAAAGGCTGGCAAAAGGAGGCGAGGAAAAGGGAAAACGTTGGAATATTTGGGTGGGTCGGGTCAAAGAGGCGAGGGAGCAATTCTTGTTAATCGGGCCCCAAACAAGGGAAAATCGCCAATTTAGTCCCTAAACTTTTTTTTTCTGTCGATTTAGTCCCTATACATTATTTATAGCCAATTTAATCCCTAAACTTATATTTCGGTTCCAATCAAGGAGCTTCACGGCGGAGCCACCGCATAATTTCCATCAGCTTCCCAATCGAGCAACCCAGAAGGGGTATTTTCGGAATTTCCATTCTGGAGCCTTTACCAAAATTAACCGAAACGAAAGTCCTATGAGAAATACCCACCCAAAACCCAAAATGAAAACAAAAAAATTTCTCCAGTCGCCACAGAATTCTTGAAGAAAATCCTCGCATAAGATTCCGCCACCACCGCTGCCACTCCTGCCGCGCCTAGCACCACCGGGGCGTGCTTACGAGACGACCCACATCCGAAATTGTCACCACCGATGACGATGGAGTAATTCGATTTGAATTGATCCGGTTCAACAAAACGGGTCTGGTAGGAAGAGGGAAGTCCGGTTAGAGCATAGGACTTGAGCTTTTTGTATTCTTCCGGGTTGGAGAGGACCAGGGTAAGATACTTGGCGGCAATGATTTGGTCAGTGTCTATGTTGTCGCCGACAACGTAGCAGATGCCATGAAAAATGGAAGCGGTGACGGTGGGAGGAGGAGTGGTGGAGGCGTTGGGGGGAGTGATGGCGGAAAGGGGCTTGTGTTGGAAATGGGGAAGAGCAGAATGGGAAATGAGGGGTTTAGTGGAGGGATAGTTTGGCGAAATTGAGGCGAATTTGAGGGAGGAGGGTGGGGAGAGAGAGGTGGTGGCAGCGGTTGAGGTGGTGGGAAATTTGGCGGTGGCGGTTGGGTTTGATGGGATGATTGAAGCTGAAGCCACCATTTTGTGAAACGTGTTAGAGTTGTATTTTAGTGGGTGTTGTGCGTGTTTTTGTGCTTTCTGAAAGAAGTGCATCACCTTGGGTGTTTCTTGTACGGGCTCTAGCCTCTGAGGGCTTCTTTCTTCTGCCCGGATCAAGGGCAGCGCCGCCCTTTGTTACTGGTATTCCTACTTGTGATTCTCATTTGCATTTATTCTATCAATTGGTTGGCTGAAGATTAAGAAGATTTAGATGATAAAACACAAATATGGGATGCATTCAGATTTTTTAGTGAGAACTTTTCAAAAATTCTTCCAAGATTCGAAAGAAAGCCACAAGGCCACCACCCCTCTTCTGTGAGAGCTGAGCAAGAAATTTTTGCCCAAGAAATTTTTTTGTTTTCATTTTGGGTTTTGGGTGGGTATTTCTCATAGGACTTTTGTTTCGGTTAATTTTGGTAAAGGCTCCAGAATGGAAGTTTCGAAAATACCCCTTATGGGTTGCTCGATTGGGAAGCTGATGGAAATTATGCGGTGGCTCCGCCGTGAAGCTCCTTGATTGGAACCGAAATATAAGTTTAGGGATTAAATTGGCTATAAATAATGTATAGGGACTAAATCGACAGAAAAAAAAAGTTTAGGGACTAAATTGGCAATTTTCCCCCCAAACAATTAACAATAAGGTATGTGGATTCAAGATTTTGACAGCGGCTGAGTCCTAGCGACCGTCACCGGCGAAACGACGTCATTCAACACCTTCGATTCTAACTCCAATTAAGTTTCCAGGTAAATTAATCTTTGCAAACACAAAATATATCGAAAATCTGGATTTGTCATAGCGTAATTGAATGTAATGATTTCTTCTAGTTGATCCTAACGAAATTGTTGAAGGCAATAATTGAAATTAGGGATACAGGGATTTCTTGAATAGCTAGCTAGCTCCTGTTTGGCTTTTCCCGTTTGTTTTTCGTTTTCAGTGGGTGGTTTTGGACTGTTGCTAAGGGAACTAGTAGTTCCTCCCAACATGATGTCGATTACTATTAGAACCTTAAGACATTAGACTTATTGAAGATGTTTAAATGTGGACACTAGAACGAGGGTCTTGCTGAAGGAGACAGATGGTTTCTGGATAGAAAATTTTTATTGTCTGTTGCTGCATCTGATGATGGTTGTTGTTGGGATCATGGTTTTTCCCTTGCTTGTAGCGTCAATCCGTGTTTCTAGCTACTTTATGTTGGATACATGCAGCTTTGATCGGACGTGATCTGACATTTCCTGATAACTAGGTTCCGCTAGTTATTTTGCTCTCTCCAATAAGATTGCAAATAATGCTAGTTATAGGCAACAAGCATATCTGATGAAAGATGGCAGTCTGTTCTTTTGCTTACATTTAGTACACTATTTTTGTCATGTACCCTTTTAAGGGATGTTTGCTAGGTGGAAATACCATTTGAGTTGCCTTTTTTTGTGTGCATTATCTGTCAATTCTGTTGGTATGTGTACTTGGATGATCGTAGATAATATCGAGCATTAATTTTTACTTGGAGAATTTGATACTAAGGTTCACGAGTTATCATCTGCTTAACCACGAATACTCTTTTAAGTTTGCTAGATTTACAGAAATCAGAGTCAGAGTTTTCTGGGGTGCCCTTTTCTTATGTTTTGCCTCTTTTTTGCTTTTGTCTCTGTTATTCCCTTGTGCTTGTCTGGTCAAGTGCAAATAGTTATGTGTACAAACTGCCATTTGATGGAGTTCTGTACTGTATTTGTTTGACAATCATGTTGAAGTACGCCATAGAGTCTCCATTTCAATGGAATAATGGCATCATGGTAACATCTTTGCATTGATATAGCATCTTAACTTTCTTATTCCCCTTACATATATAGACTGCAGTAGAGTTCCTGAAATATCTTTGCATTGACATGACCTAAACTTTCTTGTTCATCTTACAGCTACTTTCTTTGAACTGCAGATCTTTTTAATTTCAGTCTGGGAGCAATTTGCTTTGTTAGTGTTCTTTTGCTAGTAGCTTCAAATATTCTAGGACAGAAAGCAAAAATAACCACGGTGACTCGAAAGATGTTGTACCCCTAGGTCAGATCCTCAAGTTTTGGTTTATCAATTTGCCTCTAGATTTGCGGCACAAACTTTATACCCTGAAATTTCTGAAGGTTTTATGCAATTCATTGAGGACGGGATTTGCTAGTTGACCTGTTTATGTATGTTTCTCACTTTTTAGAACCTTACCAAAGTTCGTTATTGCTTTGGTATTTTCTTGTTTCTTTGCAGGTTGTTCTTTTTCACTTCTGCAACCTTGATGTCCCGGAAGCGAAATGCCATTGTTGCTACAGGCCTAGTGGTTTTTGCTGCTGCAGGATTAGCATTTCCCTTTTTCATGGCGTAAGAAATATCATTGCCTATATAAGAAAATTAACATGTTGTAAATACCAAGAAAATCGCTTTTGCAGTATGAGTAATACTAGCTAATTGTGCTGCTGATTTGCTGGTTGACCTGTATTCCTGTTTCATACCCAGATCTAGATCATCGAAGATGAAACCTGTTATTGATTCATCAAAGCCTCTACCACCTCAGGCAACCTTCCGTGGACCGTATATCAACACCGGATCGCGCGACATTGGACCTGATCATCAATCTTACCCGAAGAAATAATATGTTTTGTGGGCCTTTTACTATTTCGAGTAGAAAGCTGTTATTTTCAGGTGATGAAAAGGCTACTTCTTCCATTGATGGAGAAATGTATTTGCATTTTTGCAAGAAGTATACATTTATTTAGGGGCCCTTCTTCTGTCTGTGTGTTACCAGAATCTTGGAAGTGGGGAGCAAATTGACCACATTATGGATTCTGTTGATAATTATTTGTCGCCTTTAGATTTACTTGTACGATCTTGTAATAAAATGGTGATTGGTGAGTATTTAATATTTAGTGTTTACTAACATAATTTAAAATTTTTAGAGTAAAACTAATAAAAAAGATCATTTTTTAAAATAAGGTCCAACCAATTTGTCTTTGCCCGGAAGATTTAAAAAATTTTCAAAAAATGAAAAAAATTTGTAATGCCTTTAGCTTTATAATATAATCAGACTTTATGACGGTGAGCAAATTATGATAAAACTAAGTCCTTAAACACACTGATGTGACAAATTTGTGGCCAATTGCTATACAATTGCTACAGTCTAATGATTGTAAACAAAGCATACGTGATAAAACATGTTTTTATCACCACAGCTACAAAGAAAAAAAATCATACAAAAATTAACATATATAGTTTACTATAAAGATAAAAGTACAAATTTGATAATTTTATTTACTTCTTACTAGGTCAGTTTAACATTATTGATGAGACTCTCAGTCTGTCATTATTTCCCGAGAGGTAGAAGTACTTACAATCCTCATCCCACCTAAAATTCGCGAAATTAGTTGAGAGTTAAAATAAAATTTTAGATCAGATTGACTGATCCATTTTAAATTTAAAATATTTCTATAGGGTCCTCTCCTCGTCCTTCTATATCATAGCGTTAAAAGCAGAAAAACATTTATTGTTTTCTTGATATTTTCTAGCATTTTTGATAAAACCTTCTAGTAAAAGTATACCCCTTTAAATTTTTTTACCACAAATAAGTTATTTTCACACTAAGATTTCTCAAACCGGATGCACCGATTCTTTTAAGGATTGGCTTGGTTCTCTGCAGCTTGCTCCTGGTTACATGAATCCCACCAGTACGACATTGAAGGAAGTGGTGGGTATTCTCGCAACGGTAAGGCCAATGGCCCATCAAAACCATACCATGTCACGTTTTCAATGAACTAAGCGGTAAGCCCATTGGCCTCTCTCTATTTTACTGTGACTGCCCATGGTTTTGACCAGGGGTGGCAACGGTACCGACCCGACCCGACCCAAATTCAATAAATTTTCTCGGGTTTGAATTGAAAAATAATTCCGATATCAGGATCCGGGTTTAGACCTGTTTACTTTAACAAAAAACGGGTCGAATACGGAATATATGATTCTGACCTGTGTCCAATCCAGACCCGAACAATATATTAATAATTTTTATAAATTATAAATATTCCTAAATACATTCTTTTACCAAATTAACAATTTAGTAATGACTTTGTAGATTGATTTGTGGTTAGTTTTGGATTGACTATTGCGAGTTGTTTGTGATTTAATTTTGAAATTTGATTTGTTTAAATTTGGAGATTAGATTTGAGATTGGTTTTGGATTTAATTTTGAAATATTTAAATTTATAATTTTTCTTTCCAGGTAGACCTGGACCCAACCCCAACCCGAGACCCATCAGACCCATTTTGGGACTTTAAGGTCAAAATCAATCGAGTATACTGGTTGGGTCTAGGTCTACTATATAAAAATGGATTCGGATTCGGAATTTTCAATTTCGACTCGAAACCGACCTGTTGACACCCTAATTTTGACTTGAAGATAAATCCGGGTAAAATAGAGTACTGAGAGCTGAGAACTAGAAATGGGAACTTGACCAAGATGGTTTGTTTGGATTTGCTACAATGTCTTAAAAATATCTAGGCCGGAGTAAGGCTGCTCTCCAATTGCGTCGAGTAATACACTTTCCAAATTTTACTATTCCAATAAAAATGTTAAAGGTTGAGCTGGAGTTTTTTAAACTTGAGTTCAAGATGCAATCGGTGATATTTTGAGTTTTACTAAATTTCGTAATTTTATAATAAATGATTAAAAATAATATCATGGAAAGAATACTTTAATTTTTTTTATTCGAACTCGACTCGATTATTTTATCAAATTAATTCAACTTGATCAATTCAGCATTTAAATTAACCTTTTGACCAAGTTACACGCAAATCCAAGATGAATAACTTGGTCAATTTACACCCTGCCGACCTGCGTCGAAACAAAAAAAAAATTGACACAGTTACTCATACCAGATGCTTTTATTATTATTATTATTATTTTTAATAACAAGAGAAGGATAAAATTTATGAAACCACGGGGGAAAAGGACAATTCGAACTCACAGATGCCTAAATCCTGGGTCGAGATGGCTGCTTCCGGACGCAACTCTGGCCCTTTTCACATCATACACCTAATTTACCAAAATCACAAGTGTTAGAAAATGACCAAAAACAATTATCCAGTTAGGAGGGGTTGGCAGTGAATTCTGCGGTGCAAGTGTAAAACCGTTGAAACAGTTGAATCAGTGCCATCTCTGTAAACCACATTTTGTAATGCTCCTTCTGGAGAAAAAGCATATGGTTCTAGAATACTCATCGTCACTGATGAAAAAAAAGCCTTGCACGCAAAGGCTCCTTCCTTGGCCTTTCTTAGTCGGCCCCCGTAGCACACTGGGCAGTGCTTTCAACCATTTCCAAACCCGCATACAAATTTTCTGTATTTAGAACTGTTTGAGCGAGTTAATTAACCAACCAGAATAAAGAATGGATTCTTTACTCCTTTCCCCAGCACCATTTTCCACAGTTCCTTCTACCACCAGGAGCTGTCAACCTTCCCGTACATCTTTATATCCAATCCTAAATAAGCCTGTGTTTCATGGTAAAAAGAGGAGGTTTCTTCCACCTTTAAAAGTTGCAGCTCCACCAAACCCAACAATAACGTCTCCCCAAGAAGACGAAATAGAAGAAGCCCGGGGTCAAGAAACCGGAATTGGACTTGAAACCCAAGATTCAGAAGAGTATTCTTCTACAAAATTCTCCTGGAGAGACCACTGGTACCCTGTCTCTCTTGTGGAGGACCTCGACTCAAGTGTGCCTACTCCATTTCAACTCCTCAATCGTGACCTTGTGCTCTGGTTCGATCAATCCAATTCCCAGTGGGTTGCTTTTGATGACAAATGCCCACATCGCCTAGCCCCTCTATCTGTAAGTTGAAATTTTATGAAAAGTCAGCTTTTTGAGGATCAATTGTGGCGAAAGTTTAGATTTTTATGATGTTTGAGTACTTAAGGATTTTGTTTGTTTGGTTGTAGGAAGGGAGGTTAGATGAGAATGGGCACTTGCAGTGCTCCTATCATGGATGGTCCTTTGATGGTTGCGGGTCATGTACTAGGATCCCTCAGGCTGCATCAGAGGGACCTGAGGCTCGGGCAGTGAAGTCTCCTAAAGCTTGTGCTACTAGGTTCCCTACTTTGGTCTCTCAAGGACTTCTCTTCGTTTGGCCTGATGAGAATGGGTGGGAAAGAGCTAGTGCCACTAAGCCCCCCATGTAAGGCCCTGTCTTGACACTGCATTCATGTGCATATTAGCAGTATACGTTTGTCGAGGTTATTAGACTTTTGTCAAAAATTAAAGGTTATTAAATATTCTAACGAATAGCCACATGGATTGACTAATATAATAAAATTTGTGTACTGCAGTTTGCTGGGTACGTCGTGGATTAGAGTTTGCATAATTTATTCAGTGTTCTCATTTTTTAATTGGTCATGGTTTGTATAGGTTGCCGGCTGATTTTGAAAAACCTGAGTTTGCAACGGTGACAATTCAGCGTGATTTGTTCTATGGCTATGATACTCTCATGGAGAATGTTTCTGATCCTTCCCACATTGATTTTGCACACCATAAGGTGCTTATCGTTGACTTCAGCAATTATTTCTTTAACTTGTGAGTAATATCAGAGAACTGACGGATTCATTTGTCAGCTAAGAAATACTCACTGGAGCTTCACTGATGTTTATAAGATGAAGCCCTAGTTTGACTAACTAGTTTCCTACATACCGTGCTTAAATGGCCTTCTGACTATGCTAAACCAAATTAGTGGCATCTTAAGATGATTCTCTTTAGTTCAATGTAGCAGATGCACAGACATCCAACAAGTATCAGTGTCAGTGTATGGTTTTCACTCTTCTCAGCCAAAACAACAGTCTCTAAGCACCCATCTTGCACCCTTACAGATTTCGGTGTTGCATGACTGAATCTTACTTGAAACACTTGTGAGTCAAAGTCATGTAGCTCGATATAGGATCCTATTGACATATTGATGTATTTATTTCTCAAGGAAACGGAAATTGCAATCCATAACATGTCACTGCCTTAGTTTCAGGCTTCATCAGCAACGTTTATAATGAGTCTAATTTCTTCTTAATGCATGGCTATGAAGAACTTACCTTGGAGTTTAGTAAAAATACTGAACCCTGCAAGCATTTTTCTGATGTTAAATGTCATTCATATCTGTCATCAACATCTACTCTCATGGTCTAGAGAAATGTCAAACTATGAGCTAGTTTTTAAAGATGTCAAAGTATTTTTTTTTTCTTATTGGACCTTTAGTTGCAATATGGTGCTTTGATTTTCAATTTATCATAGCTGTGGTACGGTTCTTCATTTGTTGACAAATTTTTGAGGTCATTATTCATATTGTCCTGAGCATCTTTGACATAAGAAGTATATCTAAGTAGAATGGTAGATAGAGGATCCGTGCACTGAAATTGGTGCCTCTTGTTGTTGATTGCTTAAACATTTTGATGGATGATCACTAATTAAGAAGCATTTTCAGTGATACGTTTGGTGAATGTTACTGTAGACAAATATATATATGCTTGTCATTCTATACTACTTTCAGAACCACTTCACTAACAAACATTTTCTGGCATTACTTGTAACATATCACGAGAATCTCTATCACCCTATGTGCTGAAATCATTTTTCAGGTTACTGGGAGGAGGGACAGAGCCAAACCCTTGCCATTCAAGATGAAGTCTTCTGGACCTTGGGGTTTTGCTGGTGCAAATGATGATAATCCCATAATCAGTGCTCAATTTGTTGCACCCTGTTACTATGTGAATAAGTAAGCTCATGACTTTCGTCTAAATAGCTGAACTTTCATATGCAGCCTAACTGATTTTTGGGTCCCCTACACATAGAATCTGTTTCATTGGTTGTCAATAGGTTAAGCTCATGACTATCAGGAGAATATGAATTTCCACACGTTGAAAATCCTTTTAGGCTGAGATTTCAGAAGAAGGTGTATGTCTTAGGTAACAAAGGTTTTCTCATATGAGTGCCTATCCGCCAATCTGCCACTGAGGCACTAGGATTTCTCGGTTACCTGAAATGTCAAAAAATTATTCAGATGAGGCACTACGAACTCGTTATCACCACAGCACGTAGTGTTACTGCAATTTGTATTTGGTCGTGCGTGGCCCTTGTGCATGTTACTGCTGGTATGAGGATATGAAAGCTCATTATTTTCAGCTGCCATTTATCTGTTCTTCTGCTGTCATTTTCCAGAATTGAGATTGACACCAGGCTTCCAATTGTGGGTGATCAAAAATGGGTAATATGGATTTGTTCCTTCAATGTACCAATGGCTCCTGGGAAGACCCGGTCAATTGTTTGTAGTGCTCGAAACTTTTTCCAGTTCACAGTACCAGGGCCTGCCTGGTGGCAGGTATTGATGCTTACCTGTTCTTTTTAAACCAGAGTTCTAGAACCACAGCTGTAGCATAGGCATAAAAGTTTTACTCAAGCGTGTGCATTGTCTTCATAGAATACCTCCATGCATTGTTTATCACTAAATTAATTAATCTCTATACAATTATAGAAGATAGAGGTAGCTGGCAGTTAAGAAGATGAATTAGCATTCAGAGACAGAAGGGACATGTTTACGAAGACTGTTAGTTTTGAAGAAACATATTAGCATTCATCTTGGGCCATTCTTTATTGAAATGCTAAAGCACTAAATTGTTTTCCTTTTCCCAATTTAGTCTCCCAAGCCAAAGGTAAAGGAAAGATCTTTCTGTTCTATTTCTCCATTTTCTTCTTTCCTTTCCCTCTAAAAAGCTCTAGTATCAGACTGGGGACAAGGGGAGGGGAGTGATGGAACTTTAGAGAGAGAGAGAGAGAGAGAGTGGCCACAATAGACCATGTAAAAAGACTACTAAGAGGGCAAAACTACAATATTCTGCCAAAGAATGGGACTGACATGGAAGTGTTGCAAATGGTAAAGACCAAGTTTGAGGAAATGATGTTCTGTAAATCATGTTCAGAAACTTGGACTACATTGGCTACCTGAATCTAAGACAAGTCAAGAACAAACTGAGAATCCTTTAGATTGTTGCATGCAAATATTTGGTCATGCTATCTTATTCAACGCTGAATATTATATTGTTGGAAATTTTTGGTGTTGAGTAATATGAGCATCTTCTCTCCTCTTTGTGTTTCCTATTGATGCGTTAAAGATCATCCACAACTTTGACACTTCCTAGTATATTACACCTTCAACATGCCTACTGTAACTATTAGAGCTATCTTGGTGAATTTCTCAAGTGATGCATTCCTCTATCTTCTTGGATATTGAGCTTGCTTCATTTCTGACCTGCAAAAACAGGTGGTTCCCAGATGGCATGAGCATTGGACATCAAATAAGGTGTATGATGGAGATATGATTGTACTTCAGGGTCAAGAAAAGATCTTTCTTTCGAAGTCCAAGGAAGGTTCTGCTGATATTAACAGGGAATACTCAAAATTCACATTTACTCCTACACAAGCTGATCGTTTTGTCTTAGCATTTCGGAATTGGTTGAGACGGCATGGAAACAGCCAACCTGAGTGGTTTGGTGCCACTGACCAGCAACCATTACCATCCACTGTCTTATCCAAACACCAGGTACTGGAATTAATCTTTGGAATATCTATATGTTGTGAATTTGTACAGGAGATAGACGCCTTCGCTTATCTGGGATGGCGTTATAGCGGTAAGGTGGATTTCTGTTAAGTTGGGGTTGCAAGGACATGTTTTCTGCTTGTGATACCTTGATGCATCTGGTCTGCGGCGTGTTGTTAATAGAAGGAACGGAATTAGGCTTGATTGGCATGTGACGCCTTTCATCTGATAGATTAGGTCTTTTATGTGGCTGTGAGCTCCATTCAGATTTCCATGCAACCTGTGTTGTTGCTCATCTCAAGTTACTTTCTCTTGTGCTGGATTTTGTGTCTCAGATGTTGGACAGATACGAGCAGCACACCTTGAAATGTTCATCTTGTAAGCGAGCCCACGACACATTCCAAACTTTGCAGAAGGTTTTCGTTGGCCTTGCTGTTATCTTCTGTTCGACAGCCGGGATCCCTCCAGACATGAAACTACGAGTTGTTTTGGGTGGACTTGCGATTTTAAGTGCCGGATTGGTGTATGCGCTGAATGAGCTGCAGAAGAATTTTGTTTTTGTTGATTATGTACATGCAAATATTGACTAAACTGCTACAGTACACGTTAGGATGGTATCATATACAGTTGTATAGGTAATTAAACTACAGTTTGCAATTACAGAGCCTTGGATGGCAATTAGATCCTGAACCAAAGACTTTTGGAAGTTGGAACAGAACTACGCATTAGGAAATGTAGTGATTAATGCATATATTCAAGTTTTTCCTGCTTTATGACAATAAAATATCAAAGGGTCCCCTCTTTCCTGTTTCTGTTCTTTTTCCCTGGCAATGATCCTATTGTACTCTATTATGCTCGATTCATTTGAGTTTCCATTTTCTGATTTCCTTTTCTTCTACTTGGATGGGCTCTTAGAATCTCTAACATCGAATTTCAAGGGCATCTTTAAAATTTGGATGTAGTCTCTCAGAATACATATAGTTGAATGGGTATAGCTATTGGTTTAGAAAATCTTTTAATCTAAATTTTCAGAAAGTTAATTTTACCTACACGATTTAACTACAATCTTACCCGAAATCAAACACAAATATTAAGAATCATCAAAACAAGACACTATCACTAAACTTTAGACGATGATAATTAACCATGAAAGAACTGAGATACAAGAACTTGGTCATCTTCATTCATTAAGCAGATCCAAAAACAGCCCATTACGTACAATCAAAAACCCATTGCCTAGATCAAGAACTACTAGTAGTTGAATGGAGTTTACTTTCCTTACAGCCACGAATACAACCCTAAATTCTAAAACCCGAACCTAAATCATGAACTACTTGTAGTAAACTTGGTAACAGCCTTAGTCCCTTCAGAAACAGCATGCTTGGCCAACTCCCCGGGCAAAACCAACCTCACCGCCGTCTGAATCTCCCTCGACGTGATGGTCGGCTTCTTGTTATACCTCGCCAGCCTCGAAGACTCCTGAGCCAACTTCTCAAAGATATCGTTGATGAAGCTATTCATTATCCCCATTGCCTTGCTCGAGATCCCGATATCCGGATGAACTTGCTTCAGCACCTTAAAGATATATATCTTGTATGTCTCGGTACCCTTCTTTGCTCTCTTCTTCTTCTTGTCTCCGGCTGCGGCTGCTCCTGCATCTTTTGGGAGCTTTTTGCCTGCTTTTGGCTTCTTTTCTGCCGCCGGAGACTTCTCCGCTGCTGCTGGCTTTTTCTCGGCGGGTTTCTTCTCTGCCTTTGGGGCCATTTTTTGGAGGGACTTTTGGTTTTGAATTTGGATTTCGACTGGCTTGGGGAAAAGAGTGGCTGTGCCTTTATATAGAAATGGGGAGGTGGGATTTGATTGGTGGATAGGAATTGACAGGGATTCTAAATTACAACCGTTGATTAAAAGATGGATATTGACGGTTGAGATTGACCTGCCATGTTCCTCCACGTTCCACGTGCTCGTCTTTCATTGGTGGTTGCGGGGATTGCGGATCTGGACCGTTCGTGATGGGAAGAATAGAGGGAGGAGATTTGCTTTATTCTACGACGTAACAATTGAAATTCATCGCGAAGAACAAATCGACAAATGCTGAATTGTACAAAGGGAAAATCGTCAATTTGGTCCCTAAACATTTTCACTAATGTCAATTTGGTCCCTTAAAGTTTTTTACTATGAAATTAGTCCTCAAAGTAAAATATATACGTCAATTAAGGACCTGCGTCGCAGCACCGCCTCAAACTTGTCTCTTATTGAAGTAGACGGCAGTCCATTCAGGGGCTTTTTGGGCATTTCATGCACTCTCTCAGAAGCTTTCCTAATTTTGGCATATGTTGGACGCAAACCAATTTTCTATCTTGAATTGAGCTCATGATCTCCTTCTGTCCTTTGACAGCATTTTCATAGCTCTGCAGAAGAGAATCAATCCACTTCCCCATTGATCCCAGAGGGATGGAAGTAGCAGCAGCAAGGGCGGCCGCAACAGGAGGAGCAGCCATAGCAGCAGCCATGAGTGAACATATAAGAACAGCAGCAAATGCGGCAACAAAGATAATGGTCGACAATTTTCTCCAAGCATGGATGTACATCATGTACTTAAGCTTTTTATCAAGCTTAGTCTTTCGCATTTGCAACTTCTCAAGCATCAGAATTTGGGCATGGGAAATTTCACCAGGCTTGACAACTGGATTAAAGGCCATGGCTTCTAATTTTTGGGCAACTGGGCAACTGGGCATATCCAGTTGGGCAAACTTCCCCATATTTGGGCAACTGGGCAACTAGATTAGTCACCAAATTTGAAAGACTAAGCTCCTAATCCAGTTGTTTCTCTTGAAAAAATAGAAATTGAAATTTTTCTGGGAGAAACAGCATATGAAGAAGATTTTTTTACCTTTCATAACAGGGTAAGTTCATTGGAACAAATCTCTGAGTAATTCAATTGGATTGTAAACATAAAAGGCGGGGAAAAATCCCAAAAGAAAAAAAAAGGCTTCCATCTGAAAACTCATATCAACAACCGAGAATCAACAATGGTTCTGATCGTCTTTAGTCCTCAGAATTAGGAACTGTTTCAAGTAATTGATAGAGTACCTACAGAAGACCCACGGGCGGAGAGAGACAGATGAGGAATTCCGGCAAAAGCTCCAAGACAAATGCGAAGGCCGGCAACGGTCAGGAGATCAGGAGAGACAGGAAATCGGGTACAGGCATGAATGGATCGCCGAAGAAAGGTGGCCATGGCGGCAAGTTCACGTGGTCCGGTGATGGTTACTCCGATGCTGAGCTAGGACGGATCGACAAAGAAGCTGTCGACTTAAATGATCCCAACTATGAAGATCCTATTAAGAACGACGACTGAAGATCATAAATATCATCGTCATCGGCTGTGATTATCAAATGTTGATCTTCTGATTTCTTTGTTTTTTAAGAACTTGGAGATGTAAATACGCCTTTGATTATACCTGGATATATGAATCTATGGTGATATGTGATTTACCATATTAAACAAAAAAAAAAAAGAATTCCAAATCCGATCTTCACCAACCCAGAAACTGATCTTCCGACTTAAAAATTCCTGCTATCTCCCCTGTCGAACAAAATTCAGCCAAAAAAGACAAGCTTAAATTGCCAAAGATTCATACAAGAAAATCCACGAAAATCAAATTTCCAATACCATCACTAACCTCCAAAGCTTCAGGATCAGACAGAAAAATCAGATTTCTAAGGAAACTCAAATCCCAATCCAAAGAATTCTTCTGAAAACAACTCCAATTCCTCTTGAATATCCAGTTGCCCAAATTTCACCGGGCTTCTCAAGCCCAAATTTCACAATTTCACCAGGCTTCTTACTCATATGACTTCCCATGGCTTCTTCTCAAGCTTCTAAGAATTCATGGCATGAAGTGTCCAAAAAGCCCCTGAATGGACCGCCGTCTACTTCAATAAGAGACAAGTTTGCGGCGGCGCTACGACGTAGGTCCTTAATTGACGTATATATTTTACTTTGAGGACTAATTTCATAGTAAAAAACTTTAAGGGATCAAATTGGCGTTAGTGAAAATGTTTAGGGACTAAATTGGCGATTATCCTTCAAAGTAGAAATTATGATGAAATATTCTATGAAAAAGCAAATGTATGGTGAAGCTCCTCCTATCACCTAGATGGATTACAAAAACCAAAAAAAAAAAAAAAAATCCGTTAAAATAAAAAGGAAAATCTTTCCCAAATAGCATATGCTTTATAAGTAAACATTTTCGATTTTTAAACAATTTTACTGAAGCCTCAAAAATCAAGGCCAAGTGGCCAGAAATACATTAGTGCCACTGATTTGTTTAGATAATGGATTATTTGTAAAAGTTTATTTTTTTTTTGTATGATTAACACATTTTTTAGTTATTTTTTTTATCTCACACACATTATATCAAATCAAAGAAGTGTTAAGTATAATAGTATATTTTTTAAAAAATTTATTCTAAATAATTTACTGTCCAAACACACTTGAAATTTCTACAACTTGGAAATTGGAATTGATATTTGATAAATCTGTCATCAAAAAAGAGGTCAAATATTTGAACAGACTCTTCTGTAGACTTGCTTTATCTTCTTCTGTAGGAAGTAAAAGAGCAAGACCTATGAAAAGCGTGAAGGATCAAGTTTCAAGGTGATTTTCTTCTCTCGAACGTTAATGAGTTCTGCTTTTCCAGTGCAGCGACGGTTTGAATTTTTGAAGTATTAGTATCCTATTTATGAAACATGAGTTATACTTAGTTTTTCTGTCATCTTTGAAGTTTGGAATTTTTCATTTATTTATTTTTTTGAACTTGAAGTTTGGAATCTGTTCATATTGCATTACTAGATTGATATTTGGCATCATATAATTTCATAAAGTTTTGTAGAAAAATACATAATAAATATTAGTAATAATTTTAAATTAGCCATTATAATGTGTAATGGAATAATTAATTGATTTTAGAATGTAGGAGAAATTTTAATAAAGTTAACTCATAGGCAAGGAGAAGAAATTAGAGAGGGGATAATATGGTTTTATCAAAATAAAAATAGGATAATGAGAGTGCAAATAACATTACCTTTTTTTTTGGTAAAAAGAATTTAGATGGGTTCGATTTCGTTCACCGTAATGGATCAGAACATGTCTTCGAAACTATAAGCGACTTATACAGACATTATTACATGTCACTGACTAACACAGTGCTCATTTCGTATGTTGGTCTTTCTTCTATGACTAAGAAGCCCTATTGGTCTCTATCCATCTTTTTAAGTTAATAAAGTAATGGTGAGCTTCCTATGTGGGGAGTGTATATCTGAGTTTAACTAGCCTGAGATCAGATAGCTTCATATTCACATAGAGATCGTATTTAATCTTCACAAACTTAAATATATAGGGAGGTGCAATTAAAATCACTAGCTTGCATATTACAAGTATCAATAAGAGAGAAAAAAGAGTTGGAGACATAAATATTCTCTCCTTTCCAAAATTAAGAACCCATTTGAATTGTTATTTTCTAAAATTTTGTAGAAAAATAAACTGTAGCGATTTGAAATTTATGAAATAAAAAAGTGATTTGAAAACATGTTCAACAAAATCATAAAATATTTTTGAGGAGAAATTCCAATCCAAAAGTGTGTGACTGTTATGTTTGATTACTATAAGATTTAGTTAACGAATAGTAGTAGCAGCAGCAGTACATAATTGATGAAAGATGATGTGGAAATGCAACCAAAATCTTGAGAAGCCAAATCCAGCAAATCTTGAAAGAGAGAACAATTTTCACCACACTGTTTATAGTTTAGTAGGACTAGTTCTTCGGTATTGCATCCAAACAAAAAAAAAAAAAAAAACGATTAATCCTGAACCGGAGTTAATGAATTCCAAATTATATTACTATATAGTACTACAGAACATTCATAATTACTCGGCAAATTTAAAAGGTCATTCTTGAAATGTTGCCTGCATACGAAGTACTAAGCCAGCAGTAACCGTCAATAGACATTACTGTCAACATGTGAAGAAATAATAGACTAGATTTTTGATGAGATAAACACCTGCTAGTACGCAGTTTATGATAATGCTGTTTTTACAAGTTATTGACCCTTCAGGAACTAAGATATCAACTGCCCGTGAAACGACTACTTGCAGGTAGGGATTAATTGACATTTCACCTAGCTGACCCCAAAAAAATAAAAAAATAAAAAAAAATCCCAGCATATGTGTGAAGCTTCAGAAACATGACTGCTTTTGGATTTTGATGTAAATTTCTCACCCAATTCTTAGTCGATGACGCTAGGGAACAAGATATAAAAATGTTGAATTCCCTTCTCCGATGATCAAGAAAAAGTTAGTCACGTTCGATTTTTATTCCGACTCAATGTCGATATAGATTGAAATAACTACAGTTTAATCTAGTAATGATTCTGGCCTGCATGGCAGGAACTTATTTCTGTTGATTCCTGAATATTTCTGGAGTTCTGCTCCCCAGTAGCTGTATCGATCATCATGGCCAAGATTCCATTAAACAATATAAGAAGAGGTCCTGGCCACTTGAACAGTATATGTATGAAGGCAACGATTTATCTGTAACTACCTCTGAAACATCGACATCATATGTAGCCGCTTCATCTATCAATACATCAACGATTAAAAAATTTACAAGGAAAAGGAAGAAAAAATAAGAAAAGGAGAGGGCAAATTTTTTATTACAACATTACCTATCATCTAGTTGCATTTGTGCAGCATTCTGATCAGCTTTCCCCATCTTTGCCAAAGAACTAATAGCCGGAGTATGTCCCACGAACAAAGCAACATGTCCCATGAGCTTATCTTTCCTGGAAAATGTGGTGCCACAAGAGCACTGCCATTTGAGATCCCCACAGTGCTTCTCATGAGTTCTCAGGTCGGACAGCACCGAGAATTGCTTCCTGCTGCAACGTTTGCAAACATACATCTTGGGACAGTGGCTTCTCTTGTAATGATTCTTCACACAAATCATGGACTTCAAGGGCTGAAACTTGGCATGTTTCTTATTCCATCTGCAGCCTTCATGGGGGCATGAATATTTCCTAGGCAATTTTGGCAAGCCTTCTTGATCTTTTCCATTAGCACCCAAGTTGTTCTTTAGAGGGTTGCTCAAAGCAGCGGTAGACTTGTATTCATCCCCATGAGCCCTCATATGCATTCTCAAATTGGCATCCCTTTTGAACCCTTTACCACAAACTTGGCAATAGTGTGTATACTTTGCTAATAAATCAGCAGCATCCAATTCCACAATATCATAGCTTTTTGGTGAAAGCTTCTCTAATTCTCCGCTAGCTTCACCTTTTTGAGACAGTAGTTCCCTTCTTCCAACTCCAACTTCATTATTATGGTTGCTAACCGTAACACTACTTGTTCTAGTATTAGTATAATTTGTGCTACAATTATTAGTATTATAGCTGTCACCATACCAATTATCAAGCGCATCATTTGCATAAAAACCCTGACCTCTATCTTCTCCAAAATGCGTAACGCGATTGCCTCCACAATTTTGTTGAGCCACCGGCAACTCGGGGACCTTAACACGCTGGTGGTGGTGTCCGTGTCCATGGCCGTGGCCGTGGCTCTGGCTGTGGTGGTGGTGGTACAATTCATTTGAACTAGTCCTATTATTATTTCCTGAAGGCCCTCCAGCTCCAAGAGACACCTGTTGACAAGCGAACATCATAGAGGATGCAGTAATAATAATTTCTTGAATCAACGTACCCATGCTAGCTACAGCTATGGGCGTTGACTCGGGAGGTTGATTATGATCAGAGGAAATGAACGTGCTAGCCAAAGATTGCACCTGATGAACCTTGTCTTTGAGAATTGACAGATTATATAAGAAAGAACTGGAATGAGTATCCGGGGCTGAAGTAGCAGCTTGAATAGAAGAAGAAGAAACAACATCTTGATCAGAAACACCATAAATTGATATCCCTTGTGGCCCACTGCGAAAACAAGAATTGGAGGACCCTTGGATGATCATCCTGGGAGAGTTATGCATGTCTTGTGGTCTTGTCCCCCTCCAAAGATGCCTAACCTAGCACAAGATGTCTTGTGGTTTTGGATGATCATCTTGACTGTTTCTAGTTGTATGTGATTGATTATATAGAAAAGCATTAAGAAATTCGATGAAATATGCAATTCCAGCCTCCAAAGGTGACGTCTATACTCTGGAGAGAGATGAGGAGAGGTCCTGAAGTCAACTTTCGAGGTTAAATTCATCACCACTTGACACCTCCCTCAAATCCTACCTTTCTCGCATTTGACACACAAAAAATTTGCTAGACAGAGTCTTCAACGGTTAATAGATGTTAAAAAAAAAATGGTAGACAAGGATTTAATTATTAATTTGGCTCAATGCTGTACATCAGCTGTGTTGATGAATTGCAATTCTTTAATTATTTATCTATTTGAAAAAAAAAATACATCTAATCTTGCGTCAACCACCACGCATGAGTTTTGTTGAGTTGAAGCAGTCAATTAAAATTACCAGCACAAAATAACTACAACCCATAGGTTCTGATTCTATAGCTTTTACTTGCCATATCTTCGTTACGTTGAAAATCAAGCAACAGCAAAATTGTGGCCAAACAAAAACGGCTCGCGTGCAAAAGTTCGGATTAGTATGAACATCTATTGAAGATTCAAATTCACCATTTATGGAGTTAACAAGCAGAGACGACGAAGAATTGTCATTTAGCTCATTGTTTAAGAAATTATGGGTTTAATGTTTGTATCATGCATACTGAAACATGTTTATTTTTTTTCACTCCTAACTGTCAGGTATATGATTCGAATGCTGGACCTGACGACAGAGATGAGTGAGAGAAACAAATTAATGTGGCTTTAATGATGAAGACAAAGTGAATTGATAAGGTGGATCAAATGTAACCTTAAAAGGTTGAAGGTTCACAGATTTATGGACTAATTTTCTTGAACGATGGACCAGTTGTCACTATTTTAGAAGAGTTATAGGATTTTCGTCTTCGTACTTCTATATACTCCACTACCTTATAAACAACGTGAACTACTCTTAAGTACTTCTTGAACCTCGTGCACAGAAAATTTTACGTTAGATACTAGATAATGTCAAAAAGATTTAGTTGTCCTATTCTTTCTAATCCTTTTCTCTGGAAGCAAACATTTGTTTATGTTGATTCCAAGGCGGCTTGAATGAGATAATCTTCTGCTGGTCACCAGAAATGAATGTCAACGAAGCAACTGCATGGTTATAACCAGTGGGAAAGGCTAATCTAGACTGCTGCATTGAAGTTCTCCTTTCCTGCCATGCCAAAACATACGAGGCTTCAACTGAGGCCGGTTAACTCCAAATGCGCCGAAACTTGAGCATGTAACCCTACGTAGGCAACAAGGCAAACCTACGGCAGTTAAATCAAATTATAATTAATGTACACTTCTTGTTGTTTCAACCTGAAATATTAATTTTCTCGATTCTCTTCTCTGGTTTTCTTTAGTTTCTCTTTTATGTCTTGCAACTTACTTGATTCAATGAAATTTTTCCGTATTAAACTCGGTTTTATTTACAGGTACGTGATCATGCACCCAAAAATTGCTAAATGTTACTAAAGATTTTACTGCATGATCTTTATATATAGGTAGACTTGTGTCATAAACAACTAGTGGCAAAGCTAGAATATATTTGCAATGGGGGCACAAATATGGATAGTTATTTTACTGCATTACAATAGAGGCAGAAAATAATAGCGATTGCATAAAAAGGAGTAGTATCTATAAGCAAATGTAACAAAAATGATGTAATTACAATCCAAGTATGAATTTTTGTGCATAGAAACACTCGGAGGACCAAATTTCTTAAAATACTAGGCTCGTACGTATAGTCGTCATCAAAATGATAGGTTAATTGGGTTACTAATTATTTTTTTGTTAAGAATTATTATCAAATTATTTGTGATTACATGTATCAATTGACTCTTTACAAATTATTAGGAACAAAAATATATTCTTTTAAAAATTATATACCTAAAAGGAATATTTTTATCTGGCTAGTGGGGGCACAATTACTTATTTGTGGGTGAAAATGGATTCTTTCACAATTTTCCTACCCAAAAAATGACGTACTTATTTGGCCATTGAGGACAAGGTCAAAGACTAGCTCCGCCAGTGTAAACAACTGCTAGCTTGTATCTATGGCCTTGTTTGGCAATCAAGTTTTTGACCAAATTTGTCTGTTACAAGTTTTTTAATAACTTTAGTTAAAGTAACTTCAAAAAATTTCTCAAAAATTTTAAACTATATACATTTCAAAATATTCAAAAATTTACACACTTCAAAAATTTTTTCTACAACTTCTACAGTAAGTTACAGTAAAGTTTTAGATAAACACCCAAAAAATTCACTTGCCAAACGGGACCTATGTAACAAGAACTTCCAACTTTGATTCATACAAACTTAATTACTATATGCTAGGAACATCTTTGATAGAGTTCATACACATCATGCAAAATTTTTTCGAATTATGCAAAGCTTAGGAAAGGGAATCAAGGGATCATATGAATATGCAAATCATAATTAGAAAAGAAAAAAATGCAAAAGCAACTTTTGGTCGGATTATTTCTAGCCTTAGTTGGGGGTTATACACTATACAATTGAATGGGCGGTCATGAATAACGTCAAGAAGTATAAAATTGTTCAACATACATGCTTTGTCCAGCTGCGTATAAGCACTGAATAAATCACGAGATAAGGATAATAAGCAATTGGATGAGAACATCCACAGCCAAAACTCTGCACGTCAATCAATAGGATAATGATTTGTAATATATCCGCTACATGCAGGCTCAACTGAATAAATGCTCATAAGTAAATCCAAACCTTTATGAGCTTGAAAAAAAGACCAAAACCAACTCTCATGGATTTTGGTAACAATAGGTATTCATGAACATTCTTATAATGTGCAATTTAACTGCTAAAAATAATATAAAATACGGATTTCAAAGATAACATGAATATAATCTAATTACTATTTTCAAGTAAGAAAATTTTCAAGGACCGCAAAAATTGTGAACTGAAATCATGAGATATTATTATCCACAATTTGCTCGTTTGAAATTAACTCATGTTTAGGTTTGGATCAGGGGATATATGAAATTCAAATTCTACTAAAAATTCATGATTCTCTCATAGAACCAGGGTCAGTAAGAGTCCGAATTTCAAAAAAATTAGACTAGACTCACATAAAATATGATAAGTTTGGATAAAACTCGACCCGTTAACAGTCTTACTCTCGAGTAATTCAAGCCATCTCCGCATAATTTGGACTGGAACAATAATAATATTCCGTAGACTTTGAATGACTTGGTAAAGAAAAAGTCTTCATTCAATCATTGTTTAGTTAAGATAAGCTTCAAATGTTAATTTTTGAAATAACCAAATTGAATTGGCTAAGTGTCTAAAAATTAGTAAGCATGTGCATTCAAATATTTAAAGAATGACTTAATTGGTTGTTTCCTCTAAAATGCGGTTAACGACAGCCAATAGATGCAACAAGACCGAGGCCATATGCAGTAGAACTTTTATATATACTATTTACATAGTATATAACTACGTAAACGCACCAGCTTTCTCTTTAGCCCCTTGGTAATTAGAACCTGGAAAGTCAAATTTCATTCATTTTTGGCCTCTAAGGATAGTTTTTATCACTACTGATTTCCACTTCTCCATGGCAGTAAAACAATAGGTATTCGGGCCCCGCGAAGTCTCGTGTTTAAACCATCAATTACGCATTTAGGTATTAGAAAAAGAAGCAAATTGCATTAAAGAACTTGCAATTATTCGTGAAACACTCCGCAATGATGCCTTCGACTGCAAGAAGTTGACGAGACTTTGGATGAGTTCAATGAATGCAAATCGTGTTGGGAAAAAAAAAAAATTTCACAAAAAAAATGTCAAAATTGTCACACCTAGGGTCTCTTAGAGTGGGCCAATCATTCTAATCAAGGGGATTGGTTTTGATACTACTATTATAAAGCTAAATGGCATAATCAAGAATATGTTTAGCTATGGTTTTTTTCTTTTTTGTTTTGGGTCATATCTGATAGTAGAAAGCAAATTAATAAGTATTAAAATTCCCTAGTCCCTGTACAAAGAAATTTAATTTAGAACTTCGAAGTTACGGTTTTCATGTCGAGCACACTCTACGTGGGCTCCACTCAGGCTTCCAAGGAAAGTTTGATAAGGCAGTTATTTTTGCCTTTTTTTGTTTCCTTTTTTTCATTCGACGCATTCTCCCTAATGAAAAAACAGCCAACGTTCCCACACTGTCTAAGGCCCTTTTAGGGGTTGCGATGCATTTACAAATAAAGCGCTTCTAAGTATTAAAAGTATTTTTATAATATTTGGTAATTAATTTTTGTTATAATTTAAGGAATTTAACTTTTAATAACTTAAAAGCGATTCCTCAAAAAAAAACTTATAGGCACTTTACAAATGTTTCTTTATAAACCACTACAACAAAGGGTGGCAATCAAGACAGTGATGGGTTGGCGGGTCGAGTTGAGATCAAAATATAATAGAAACTCATTTGATCCGGACACGACCCGCTAATCTATGATAGGTCAGGATGCCTGACATGAACACAATATTTTCTGATTGGCGGGTCACTTAAATAACCTAATATGACCTGAAACATAACTTCAATTTACTAAATTTTTGCTGTTGTTCCTACTAGAACCAATTTCGTACAAGGCTAATTACATAATCAAGTAATAAAAACCCTAATAAAACAATCCCAAATTAGAGTTGAAGTAAATTAAGACACCATAAAAATAAAGAATAATGTAATACGTCATCTGTCCAAACATAACAATTCCAACTTCACATGAACCAAACAAATTTAGTAATCAATCTGAAATCTGATTTCTTCGAAGGAGGCACACAAGTTCGAAAATCAAAAGGCAGTAGCTAAGCTTAAACTCGAAGAAGAATGGTCGTCCGATGTTCCACCTTGCTGCTGGCCAGCGTTTGTTAGTAATAGATGAAGGTTGGCG